GAGCAGGGGGCAGTGCTCGGGGCATACTGGGGGGAGTCCAGGCTTGGTGGTGGTTAATCCTAATGTGTCAACTTGGCTATGCTGTGGTGCCCAGTTGTTTGGTCAAACACGAGTCTACATAATGCCGTGATATGTTTAACATTTAGATGAGTACACTGGTAGGAAAGCAGACTACCCTCCATAATGTGGGTGGGCCTCATCCAAATCAGTTGAAGGTCTTCAGAGAAAAGACTAAGGTCTCCAGAAGAGAAGGAAGTCTGTTTCCAGCCTGTCTTTGGACTGAAGACGACTGCGGCATCAGCTCCTGCTGAAATTTCCAGCCTGCCAGTCTGTCCTGCAAAATTTTGACTTGCCAGTTCCCACAATCACGGAGCCAATTACTTAAATAAATCTCTTTCTATGTGCATACATTCTATTGGTTCTATTTCTCTAGAGAGCTCTAACTAATACAGAACCATCCTGGGCCCCGGGTCGAGGCCTCAGTCTGTGTTGTTGGGATTGCTGCAGGGATTGTTGCCTGGACCTGAGGCAGCCGTGGGGATTCTAGGCGGAGCTGCCTTCTCAAGGTGACCTCCGGTCCCCAATTTACTCACGCTGCCCTGTGATTTGGACTTTGACGTCGGTGGATTATGGTTTCTTATGCCCCATTGGCTTCCCGGTCTCATGGGTGGCAGATGGGTTGTTTATATTTGCAGACTGAGATTTATTAGCTTACTCTAAGTGTATGGCAATGTCCCTGCACCCCAGCTTCCTGTCTCTTAAAGGTAAGTGGCTGTTCCAACAGAGGTGGAGAGTCTGCTTGGTAGGTAGTGGGGACGGTGTGGCAAGAAGTACAGCACATTTCAAGATCCGAAGGTGTAGTTTCCTTTTGGGGGACAGGAAGGGGTGGGGGAGTATTGTTGAAGATGGAAAATGAGAGTTGTAATAAGTCAACTATTAAATTAAGACAAAGGTGCTAGGGAAGGAGGTGAAGACTGCAAGTCTCAAGAAGTGAAATTTGTACTTAGTTCGCCCACTGGGCCTACAAGGCCGCCACAGGCCATATAAATGAGATTGAGTCCTTTTCATTTTCCCCTCAGGGGCTGTTTTCTCTCCACCTTTTACAGGTTTTCATTTAGTCAACTTGTTTGCTTGTCTTTAAATTTCATCTGACAACAGCCTCCATAAAAGCGCATTTAGCCAGGTAATTTGGAGGTGCTAGTGTGTGTGTGCGTTGCATGCCTTTAAAGTCTCCTAAACCCAGAGTGGGAAGGTTAACTTCCCACAGACGTGGCAGATTTACTCCGCGGCACCATGGGAAACGTATGTCTTGGCTTCCCCTCAGTCGAATGCAACTGCTACCTTTAAAGAGATATTGCAGTACAGTTTTAAAGCTTAGTTAGAATGATTCTTGTTTGTTGATAATATGTAAATGAGGGTCTCTCCAGGTCATTTTCATTATATTTGCACTTGAATTTGTAGTCTAGCTTTCCTTACCAGAACAAACCTGCATGACTGTTATAAAGCTTTCATCGGTGGTATATGAAGGAAGGGATGATAGGGCATCTGGGAAGTTGTTGGGGGTCCAGGAAAGATGCTGGAGTAGGCGGACCAACCTGCCCCATCTATTTGAATGGATGGAGTAGGGAGCCGCAAACGCTGCCTGGGGTGGGATCTTTGCCCAGGTGGAGACATGGGGGTGCTGAGTGTCCAGGGATGAAAAAGACTGTGCACAGTGCAGTGTGCACTGGCGAGGGAGGAGAGCTGCTGTGGACGTGACAAGCCCGCTCGATCTTCCACACAACACGTCACCCAAGTATTTTGTCCTTTTTGTCTGAGCTTTAGAGTGAGTATTAAATGCTCTGGGGCCTGAATTATAAATATGACTGCACAGTAGTGACTCTTGTGCCAGATTACAAGGTCGTGTAATAAACTCCTGGGAATATGCGAACGTTAGCACCCAAATCACAGGGCAAGCAGGTTGATGGAAAGAGAGGCCTGGTATCACTCTGAAAGGACAGGCAATGGAGAAGCCCTACAGTAGCCCATGAATCCGGCTTCAGGCTTGGGTTCAGATGGGTTCACTTGGTAAATATAGGCCCAGGATTCTGGAGGCCTCTAGAAGTTACATTCTCCCAGGTTACTTGGAGCCAATTGCCAATTTCACAGGAAGTTTCAGAAATCCCCACTCATTCCTCAGGTCCTACCTTCTGTATCAGAAAGGATGACATCCATCTGTACATGACAGAGGACCTAAACTTAAAAGTCGCCTAAATGCACATGGTATTTTCTCTCTGGTAAGAAGTTAGAAGGGAAGTATTCCGTGGCTGGCGCGGTGTATCCCCTGTTCATCAGGGGTCTGGACCACTCCCTGCTCCCTGCTATAGGCTCTCAAATTCCTAAGGTGCTGCCCTTAGTCACATGATCCCAGAGACCTGTCACTGCGTTGGTCACCATTTCTAGTTTTAGGCAGTGGGGCTGAAGAGGGGTAAAGAAGGGTATGCTTTCTCCCTCTAAAGACATTTTTTAGAAAATGCAACACCTCTGCTTTTCCCCCATTGTCCAGAACTGAATCCCCTGAACACACTGACCAGCAAAGGAGCTGGAAAATACACTCTTTATTCCTGGTGGTCAGGGGCGGAGCTAAATAGCAGTGCCCAGTCATTAAGGAAGTGGGGGAGGAGAGATATCATAGACAGCTAGCAGTCCCTTCCTCCCTTACACTGCATGTTACTCGGTAATGCTTAAATGCACATGTTTTTAAATGTAGGAGTTATTGAATATGGAGAAAACGGAATCATTCTGCACTGCGGGCGGGAACATAAACTGATGATGCCACTATGGAAAACAGCATGGGGTTTCCTCAAAAATTAAAAATAGAACTACCACATGACCCAGCAATTCTACTTCTGGATTTGTATCTAGAGAAAGGGAAGTCACTATTTCAAAAAGATATCTGCATCTCCATGTTCATTGCAGCTATATTTACAATAGCTGACCCATTACAAGTAGGTTCCTAATCAGTGGAACCAGTGGAAGCAATCTAAATGTCTATTGACAGATTAATGGGTAAAAAAGTGTCAAATATACACGTCCTCCTTGATAAGAGGCTTGAAGTACATTTACACACACACATGCACCCACATACATTGGAATATTATTCCACCATAAAAAAGGAAGCCTGGCCATTGGCAACAACATACTCGGCTGCTGAGAGTATTATGCTAAGTCAGATAAGTCAGACAGAAAGATAAATACTGTATGATCTCCTTTGTATATGGCATCCTTATTTAGTTTTTTAAATATTTACCTCACCTGAGGCTATTTTTTCATTGTTTTAGAAAGAGAGGAGGTGGAGAGGGAGCGAGAGAGAGAGAGAGAGAGACATTGATTGCCACCTCCTGCACACGCCCTGGCCAGGGACTGAATCTGCAACTCAGGTATGTGCCCTTGGTGGGTATCAGTCCTGCAACTTTCAGTGCACAGGATGGACGCTCCAACAGAGCCATCCAGCCAGCCAGAGCCATAGGTGGTATCTTTAAAAAACTAAACTCAGAAACAGAGAACAGATCGGTGATTGTCAGAGGTGAGGGGTGGAGGACAGGCAAAGTGGGTGAAGGTGGTCCTAAGGCACAAACATCCAGTTATAAGACAAAAAGTCCTGTGCAGCGTGTAATGTACATCATGGCGACCATAGTTAATAATGCAGTATTGTACATTTAAAAGTTGCTAAAGGAGTGAATCCTAAAAGTTCTCATTATAAGAAAAAAACTGTATGTGAAGTGATAATTGTTCATTACACTTACTGTGGTGATTGTTTCTCAACATAAACACATCAAATCATTATGTGTATACCTTAAAGTAATACAGTGTTGAATGTTGATTACATCTCAATAAAACTGGGGTAAGGGGGTAAGTGAAAGGGAAAGGAGGAGTCATTGAATGCCTCCACTGTCGCAGGACGGGGTCGGGTCCACCGGGGGAACTGAGTGTGGCTAAGACGGGAGGCGGTGCCGGGTCTCGAGAAGGAAGATGCTACAGGCCGTGAGACACACGGTTACTTCACGTGCCACTGGGGAAGAACACCGCTGTCAGGTTTAATTGGAAAGGACTTTCCTTCATTAGGCACATTAACAATTTCAGAAATGTTCCAAGGTGAAACAATATGCCTCTGAGAATCCATGTGGTTAATTAATTAGAGCACACGCAGATTCTGAAATCAGGTTTTTGGCGGGGCCTACTTAATCTCTCTAATCCTCAGCATGCTCACCTGTAAAATGAACATAGTTATAGTTCCCAACTCATAGTCCAACGTGAAACATATAGTAAATGCTCATTAAATGCTGGCTTTTAGTGGTTTTAAGTAAAGTTCCTGCCCTCAGAATAGCTAACATAAGAGCCAACAAGATTGGGTGGCGGATGAGTGGGAAAATTCCCCAGTCCTCCCACTCCAAGTGGAAAGTGATGTTTGGATGTGGGCTGCTTCTCCAGCTACACAGAGAGGAATAATTTGTTTAAAGGATTTCTCCTGAAATCCTGAGTCTTAAAAGTAGTTCTAAGATAGCTAACAGGCGTGGTAAATATCGTGCCTATTGCAATGGTCTGAGAAGAATCTCCCTAAGTAGCAGAGGAGAAACATGTCTCAGTTTCTTTCCCTTAACTGCCTAGAGTGGACCCATCTGGGAAGGCCACCTCCCGAATGGGATTTTGGTTGTTGGAAAGACCTGGATGTGTCTGAGCGAGTTAGAGGGTCTTCTTGTTAGGAGACTTACGGAACACGTTCTTCTGGAAAGTTCTCACATTTTTACCCGTGCCTGGAGCACTAAGTTTCCAAGTAGAATTGTCCCTGGGAGGCAATGACCCTGTGCAGGGAGGGGAACTCCCATGTATTTTCAAGGGGATGTTGACTGTTGCAAAAGAATGGAATAATTCCTCCGGAAAAAAAGCTAATTGTGGTAAGTTTTATGGTTCTTTGAGAAAGGATCCTTTATAACATATTTTCTTCACTCCGTTTGACTCAGAGCAGAGACAACTATCTCAAGTGTGTTTATTCCTTTTGGGTAAGTGGCGCCTAAGACATTTATGGTCTAGAAAAGTAAAACCTATCTATTATGTCTGCAACGAACCAGCCTAAGGCTCGCCAAGTTATCTGTTGAGCCTCTTTGGTTTCTTAAAGTGCCTCATAAGTTTAAGTTTGAGACAAAAAAGTTGAAAATTCCAGATTTTAAACTATGTATCTCAAAGTGATATTTTATTGTATTCAGGGAAAAATTTATAATAGACTAGTTTTGCTTAATAATGTATTTATTTCTAAGTTTATATAACTTATAGGCTGGCCTTGGGACATTATTATTTATAAATCATATTCATACACAATATTTTCATTTGTGTCTCTAGAAGCTGAATATTCCATGAGCTCGTGAAAATCACCAGGGGAAGGTGACTTTCACGGTGGTAGTCCTCCTGTCCCATGGGTCAACAGCCACGTCTTGAGAGAGACTCGTCATGGTCACTGTGTTACTCAGGTACTCCTCCTAAAGACCATGGTGAGAGGGGCCCTCGTCACACAGTCACTGCTTGGGGGACCCCGTCCCTGTGCTCTGGCTGCTGCTGGTGCCCTCACCGAAGCTCATGTCTTGGCCTGTTGGCCTGTGGAGTGGCTGCTGCTTCTTTGCCTGGCATCTATCACTCACACTTGACCCCCAGTGACTTGGAGTATTTATTTATCCTTTGAGTTGCCATGGCCTGGAACTCTGCCTTCTGACCCACATGCTCTTCTCACCCTTTGGTCAACAGGAAAATGCTCTCTATGTCTAGAGCCCAGCTCTCTCTTTCTTGGGCTTGTGGTGGGTGGGAGATGTCTCATAAACAGACTTTGAGACATACTGCTGTTTCAGTTTTATTCCCAAGCTCTCGGGTGACAGAGTAGAAAAAATCACACAGCAGAGTGGCTTAGGGGCTTAGAGATACAGCTTTCACATTTAAGTTTTTTCTACATACTTCTGTCTTTTTTAGGGTGCATTGGCACTGCTGCTTCCAACATTTCTGAGGCCCAGAGGAAAAATGAAATGGAAACCCACATATAAAAGTCTAAATACTTAAAGCATAAATCAAGTGAACATACACTTATGTAAATGTTCCCTTACCATGACAAATATCCCTTCATTAAAACAAAATTTCTATTAAAAATTTTTAGCCTTTTTATGTTTCATTATTACTTTTTTAATCCTCACCTGAGGACATTTTTTAATGGCTTTCGGAGAGAGAGAAGAAGAGGGAGGGAGGGAGAGAGAGAGAGAGAGAAACATGGATAGTAGAGAGCAGCTTTGACTAGCTGCCTTCCTCTGTGTGGCCCAACCAGTGGTTGAACCCACAACCTGAGTATGTGCTCTGACCTGGACTTGAACCTATGACACTTCAGTCCATAGGACAACACTCCAACCAACTGATCCACACTGGTTAGGGCTAAAATTTTAGCCTTTAAAATTTTTCACTTCTATTTTGTATTTTTTTAATTTTTCAGTTATAGTTGACACATACATTATGTTAGTGTCAGGCATACAACATAGTGATTATACACAGAGTGATCACCCCAATAAGTCTAGTCCCCACCTGACACTGTACACAATTATTACAATGTTACTGATTGTATTTCCTATACTGTACAACCTCTTGACTATTTTATATTTTCTATCATTACTTTAGCTTGTTCTCAACCACAATGACCTAAAGTATGAGAAAATAAAATGTAATTTTATTTACAGGATACAAAATTTAAATTCATTAAAATATATAAATTAAAATAACATACTGTATTTTGCTGTGTATACAGCATACCCATGTATTTGGCCCAAACTTTCAGGGAAAAAAATCTTTCATTTTAATTTTTAAACTCAATGATTTCTTTATTTATATCTGGAAACAAAAGCAATGATCATATTCCAGGTTATAATTTTGCATACAGATGTTGCTTTCTCTAGAGTTACACTTTTAACGCATGAGCATAAATAAAAGAATTAAAAACATTTATGTAGGTACAGAATTAATACTACCCATGTAAAATGTATATCCTTATTTTTCTCTGAAAAATTTGGGCAATTTTTTTCTCTCAAAAAAGTGTGCATTATATATAGTAAAATATAGTAAACATTTAAAAGTAAAATCTTTTTACATTTTTTCTGTGATATTAAAAAAGATCTATTGAAATTGAGATAAAATTCAAATTGGAATGAGTATTATAAATTTCAAAGTTTAAAACTGAACCGACAGTTTAATTTTCTAAATATAAATTCAGTCATTGAATTGTATTTATGAAAATAAAACTATTATTTCTTCTAATGTTCAATATCCACCTAGTAGCCAATGTAAATAGATGATATTTTGCTTCATCCTTGTTAGGTCTAGGTCGTCACACACAGTTTCAAAGTGTAAACTTATATGTGGATGATTTAGGAGTAACATGAACTGTTGAACATTGAAGAAAGTTCCTCATCTTCCATGTGCGCCTGTTGTGAATGGTGTGGTGATCTGAGAGTTCCTCCAGAACATGAAAAGACTTGGAACATGAAAAAAAAGAAAGACAATGGATGCTCAGTAGTCATGGGAAATGGTACTTCATGCAAGAATCCATTATATTCATACTATTGGTGATGACGACACATTATTTACTTTGTTTTCCTGTTCGGCAAGTCCTGTCGGCGGCTGGAATTCTCCCTGTACACTGCAGCACTGTCAGTCTCTGAGACCGGCAGTGGCACAGCCTACAGACCTTCCTGGCATTTGGACACAGTTGTCACTTCCTTCAAAGAGAGGGCGAGAGATGAGAAGAGTGGCCCTGGAACTTGAATAGCGTTAGGAATGAGAGCAGATATGTAGGGTTGCCAATTGTGTTAAAATTCTGAGTCTCAGATTCCAAAAGACGGAGATGCCTGAGTATTCTTTGGTAAATTCCTTTCGCCCAGGTGTAAGGGCTTAGGCAGACTGAGCCTGAGTTTGGAAGGGTGCGTGTCCGTACACCGCCTCTCACTGCACCTGCCAGCGCTTCCCTGTGGATACTCAGGCTACTTCTTGCCCACCATGCTACACTCTCCCTCCTGTACAGGGACTTATTTTCTTTAAGGGGCTTGGTGGTCTCTCCCTGACATCTGGGTTTCTCTCGGATTTTCTAGCAGACATATTTCTAATGTACCTAAATAGCATTGTTGTCACAGTTCAAGTTCTATCCTGTGGACTTGTGGCTAGAACCTTTTTGCATGTCCCTGAACTTCTCATGACAGAGAAAAACCAGTTTTTCTTAGGGTCTTAGGGAAGATCCTAAGTTCTTTTAGGAGTGATACTTGAATCCACATACTGTTCCAAAATAATCTCTACTCTAGTCTATAGATAGACCCTTCTTAATACTAGTGGTTTAAAAACGGACAAAATCTTCCAGGTATTTAAGCCCTTTGAAGGCAAGCATGATGTGGTTTGACAGAACCGAATTGCTCTAGTTTTTGGTTCTGCTATTGGTATCACTTCCTCATAGGTGGTTGTCACCACCCAGGTGTAAAAATAGAGACTGTTCTCCTTTTTGAGCAACGCCAAGGCCACTCTCCCAGCTTGTTTATAGCCATGCAGGGGGAGCCCAAGCAGATCATTATGATAAAAGTGGAGAATTTAGGAGCTCAGATTATTTATAACTAAGGCTAAGGAGTTAACTTTCTAGGCGTGTCTCATTGGTTCTGCATTCTTTAATCCGAGTTCTTTAACCAACTTTCGACAAAATGAAAGATCAGTTGTTTTGACATCAATCATCTTCTCAGTTCCTCCTTAAATGTTAATTTCCCACTCTCCTGAAGCCTGTCCCGCCTCTCACTTTCTCTACCTCCCCAAGGAGAGTTGCAGGGTGGTGAAGGGCAGGCCTGCAGTCCCAGCTCCACCACTCCCTGAAGCGTGACTTTGGGAAAATTACCCAGTCTCTCTAAGTGTCAGTTTGCTCATTTATCAATTGGGGATTATAACGCCTACCTCAGAGGATGGAAGGGAGGATCTAATGAGACAATGCCGGTAATGTACTTGGCAGAGATCTGACATAACAGCAAATGGTGTCTATTGTTATTCATCTTCCTTTTGTCCATGTAAGAAATACCCAAACCTGTAGAGAATTTTTATGAGTTTATTTGAGCCAAACTGATCACCATTGCTGGGAAGTGAAATCTCAGCAGATCAAGAAAATGCTCAGAAGAATGGCGTTTGGCAGCTTCTGTTATACACTGGAAGGAAAGGAGGAGGCATAAGGAAGTTTACAAAAAATCCACTGGTGGTAGATTAAAGGGGTGGAGGAAGCAAAGCAAGAAAATTTCTGGGATGGAAAATAAAAGGAAGAGACACTTCTTTTACTTTGGTGGATGCGGGATAGTGAGCAATTCACATTTACAGCACTTAGAGATGGCATTATGGGAGTAAGACTGACGTTTCAAAGGTATGTAATCTTAGATACAAAAGGACAATAGATAGGCTCACTCAAGGGACACACTGACCTATGTCAAGGAGCTACAGGCCTAGGGCGTGCCATGATCTGCTCTTAGGTATTTTACATTCAGACCATCTGTGTGGTAGCTTTCAGTCTCTGAATTTGTGGGAACTGCCACACGGCCCCCCTGAGCTCACCAGGTTTAGTACGTGGGCTCCTTTCTGTCCACACCTTTTACTTGTCCTACGGTAGTTTCACAGCTTTATTTGAATATGGAGAATCGAGGGGAGATTTCAAAGCTAAACAACAGAACCAACAGTTTTACAACAGTTGCAGGATATTATTTGAACACAGATAAATAGGATTCCTCCCCAGAGATCTACCACCTTAAGGAAGAAGGGAATTCTTTCTCAGATGTTATCATAACTTGATGAAATAAATATTTCCCTTCTCCCCAGGTATGGGTTTTTATTTTGGCACTATTGCCATTTCCAATAGAGTTCAGTTAAAAAAAATTGATACAACATTAGCTGTGTATAAAATACTAACAAGTAAATCTCTGCCAAACTCCTAACACAAAAAGATTCAAACCCAGTCCATCTGACTACTGGGGTCTCTTGTCTCCTGCCCCTGTCCATCCCCCCAACAGTAAACTGGCTGGGCAGTGAGGGTGGGTGGGTGGTGTGAGGGACACCTGCTGCTCACAGGCGGTTTCTGCAAAGAACAAGGTCCTACTTAGGCACTGAGGAAGCACTACTTCAGGTTCTGCATGTAGTTTACTACGGGGGTGGGAAGGGAGGAAATTGTGCATTAAAAGAAACAGATCTTGAGATAAATGAGACAAAAAAAATGAAACATTTATTCAGAGTATTTGATGTCCTAATGAGCAGAATAAAAAAAAAACCCTTCCTAGAATTAAAATAATTGAATCTTTTAACACATCCACTGGCGTTTTCTGCTTGTTTATCTTGGGTTTAGTTGGAGTTCCTGAAAATTCTCAGTATTCCCTTCCTCACGCCTCTCATCTTTCAGTTGCCAGGCTGGAGTCCCCTCTCTCTACCTCTCCAAAAAGCCTAATAGGTCAAGGTCTCGCTGGCTTTTCTGTCCTTCTGAGACCTCCCTCCCTCCCTCCCTTCTGCTTGCTTTTTTATTGCTCTCTAAATAGTTTCAGTTATATATTAACCTGCATAGGAGCAAGGACCACATCTTGTATTTTAAAAATGCCATGTCCCTTCCAGCGCCTGCTTGTAGTTCTGGGCACATAGTAAATGCAAATTGAATATATTTTATCTGATGGTTTGAAGACCTTCCTTTCACTTGCCCAGAAAATCAGAAAAATTTGCCAAGTCTTTTATTGCTTTTAAAATATAACTGATCAGACTTTGAGGAAAACCCTGCTTCTCCTATGTTTTAAAATTTCTCTGCTCATAGTGTTCCGTCAGTGCAGGGCAGCCTCAGGTAGTGAACAAGGAAGGTGGAAAGATGCAATTGAAATTCATCTGGAAGAACAGCAAACTAGAAAATAATTCATAAACATCGTAGGGATTTCGTGGTTACCCCGAAGAATGAAGAATGATCCCAAATGGACTAGTTAATGGCCTCACATTCCCGTGGCACTAAACATACAGAACTCCTGGAAAATAATCGATTTTGGTGTGCCTGTTTTTCTCGATGCAACAAAGACAACAACATCCGAATGGAC